CCATATTTTAATAAAGAAATTAACAACAAAGTTTAGTATAAAAACATTGCAAATATTAGAAACAATTACAGCATACTCAATTTTGTAACTGTATATAAATGAGGCTGTTTTTTGAACGCAGTACATCTTCTAGATGTTATTGTTTAAAATACTTATATACATAAATGAGGGTATTTAACAAAAGCACCTATTCGGTATATAAATACATAAATGACGATTTTTTTATACATATTGGTTCGAATTCCCGTAATCAACACAAATAAGTAAATAATGAATATTAAAAACAAGTAAGAAAGTCTAAGTTCGGGCGGAGCCGAACATTAAATACCCGGCGTTTGGTACAAATTGTTAGAATGGTTACCCATATACATATATGTGATCATGAGTGGGCGGTGCCACGCCCTTTTTCAAAAATTTTACCATAGATGTATTTCTTGGTAAACAATTGTTGTAAGCATAAATTTTGAATAAATTAGCTTTAATATTTACTGATTTATCGAAGATTTTGTATTTCTCTAAATTACCGTTATATGGGAAGTGGGGGTGGTTATTGTCCGCTTTAGTATGCTGTACCAAGGCCAACAACTGTGCCAAGTTTGGAAGAAATTGGTGCGGCGTTTACCAAGATATACACATGTACACGTCATAAGTGGGCGTGGCTACGCCCATTTTCCAAAAATTTATAATATTCTTATTTTTCGTCTGAAAATTATTGTAAATATAATTTTTGAGTGAATTATCTTGAGTAGTTACTAAAATATCGCAGTTTTCGTACTTCTGGAAATTACCGTTATATGGGAAGTGGGCATGGTTACAGTCCGATTTCACCCATTTTCAACACCAAACTACCTTGGATTAATAGAAACCTACATACCAGATTTCGTTGAGATATCTCAATTTTTGCTCGAGTTATCGTGTACACGGACGGACGGTCAGACGGACAGACGGACGGACAGACAGACATGGCTTAATCGACTTCTCTATTCATTCTGAGCATTTATATATACATTTGTCTATATCTATCTCGATTCGTTTTGGCTGTTACAAACAACCGTTATGTGAACAAAATTAATATACCCGTGCAGGGCCGTAGCCAGAATTTTTTTTCTGGAGGGGGTTCTGGCAAAATATTTTTTTATTTTCACTTTTAATTCAACGTATTTTGATTAAAAGAAAAATACTGATACAAATAAAATATTTCAAACAAACAACAAAAAATATAATCGATAATCGCATGAGGCTATTGCCTGAAAATTTTAGCACATAGTGGCTTGTGCTACTATAATAGCACGGCCCAGTAATCATAGTCAACTTATGTACAGTAGTCCAGTGTTTTCCACTGGAATTTTAAAATCTATTACATTTTAAGACTTCCACCAAAATACCTCGCAAAAATATTAGGATTTACGTGAGCTGAACCATTTTGAAAATACCTCCAAAAATTTAGTTTTTTATTAATAAAAAGTTTTTTTAGATCTTTTTTTTGAATATACCTCAGATTACTTAACAGTTTAAGCTTAAAAAGTTTGCATAAAAAAAATTTAGAAAAATTTTTCTACGGAATCATAATAATGAGATTTTTGATGCTATTTTTGACCTTTTTTCAAAGACTGGTTTAAGAAAAACTTGAATAACTCAGCCAAAACCTTACCAATTTAGACTTATGAGGTATCGTTGGTAAGGTATTTTCTCTCCCTTTTAATTTATTTGCGAATAAGCTCATTCAAAGTATGAAAGAGGAAGGTAAGATAAACGCGTGTCATTCCATTTTGAATTAAGATGTGGTGGCATTTGATAAAAAAAAAAATTTGGGACGTGAATGAGTTTTTTTTTAAGCTTAAACTGTTTAGTCATTTGGGGGTTTTTTCCAGAAAATCCTTTAAGAAACTATTTTTATTCATAAAAAACTAAATTTTTAGAGGGATTTTCGAACCGGTCCAGCTCACGAAAATCTTAATATTTTTCCGCAATATTTTGGTAGAAGTCTTAAAATATGCTAGGTTTGGTAATCCCGCCAGAAAAACCGCTACTTTTTTTGTGGCGATGCAGTTTAATGTACAGTAGTCGAAAAAATTATAGCAGCACCAAGTTGTCAGAAGTTTTAAAATATAATTTTTTTTTACTTAATTTTGGTTAGTTTTTTATAGTTCATTCTTTAATAACATCCGTCTAAACACAAGTTTAAAGGCAGTGTCACACGATTGGTTATTTGCCAAAATTTGGTGGAAATCGTATCCTGTGAATACCCAAATGTTTTTCTTTATCCCAATCACGAAAATTAATTTATTAAAAGTTTATTATGAGTGCTAAGCGACGTAAACAGATTAGAATGAGTTAAAACAAAACACCCTTGTTGTCGCTTAAAAATGTTTATTTTCTGATATTCAACAACAATTGTTTGTAAAGTGTGGCGTTGCCGGACTTCTACTAATTCATGAAATGATGCCGAATTCATGGTTAACTTTCGTGTATAACTAAATTCATTAATTTGTGTTTATGCAGCCAATTTTAACCCAAATTCATGAAATGATTTCGTGAATTTGACTACGCATAAACGTAGTACCAGAGAGGGTCAGGGTTCGAATTCCACTGCAGGCAACATGCAATATAAATATTTTTTTTTTGGTTTTTATCTTGATTATTCACTTCACCGATGCTTTTTCAGAACGAACGCGGTCGTTTTTATATGCGCATAATTGAATTGAATATTTACCAATATACGGTACCTACTTTCGTTGACGTTTATAGTAAGATCAATTACGTTTCTGATTGATTTTAATATTTTTTCCCCTCAGTGTACGTAATACCATTGCAAAAATGTGTATATCGGACGTTTAATAATATAGAGATGAATCTAACTTAAAGTCTACGTTTTTGGAGATTTCATTATGCAATTAATAAGCTTGATAAGTATAATATGTTCTGTATATGGGTGTTTCCAGCGGAATGTCCACCACGACAAAAAAAATAAAAGTTTTATATCTAACGTATTTACGGGCCGATTTGTCTGCTCTTTAAAATATATACTGGCTATGTAAGTAGAATCATGTTTGCATAAAATGGTTTTCCTAGGTGGTGCCAAGGTCGAGATATTTCGAAAAACCGTATTTATGGTCCGATTTGGTTCGAATTTGGCGTATGTGGTTGAAACATAATAAATCATAGATTTCTAATAAATTGACCCTGAATTGGCGCTGAAATCAAAATATAAAGTATATTCTACATAAAATAAATGTTTTATTTGCGTTAAAAGTTAATTTAAAAGCAATATTAACAAAAATATAATGATGGAAATTTATGTCACGTGACGCCACGTCACGTCACGTTTCACACTTGGGGTTGTAAAAGAGAATTGAAATAATTTGCATTAATTCAAAAAACTCTAAAAACAACTAGAATTGCTCCAAATCATATTAAAATAAGTTTCATGAAAATAGCCATCCACAATTCGAAGAGTTTTGCGATTTTGTAAGAAAAGAAAAAATCAACTTCCATTTTTTGTCACGTAACGACACTCTCTTTAAATGCTTATATTTCAGGACCAAGCAGTTCGATTGATTTCATTTTCCGGTTAAATATAGAGCTAATTATGTGCTATACAATGGCCCAAAAAAGTTAAAGAAAACAAATGGTATTTCTTTTTTGTATCACATTGAAATCGTACGCCTGTCACGTGCGCCACCATGGGAATGCCCATATCAGATAACCAAAGTTCCCAAATATGGCTAAGACTATGTTTAAACAGGCACCTTATTGGCAATTAAGAACCTTTTCAGCAATGCAGGCCTTAATTGTTACACAATTTATCATACGAAAATTAAAATTATAAATTGCCAATTAATAATTAATTGGTAATCAATTTGTGTCAGATTCTCTATGCAACCCTGCTAGGTATGTTTAGTTTGACTTGGAGGTATGTTTATTGAACAAAGAAAAATCAGATGTTTATTTATGGTCCTCTTTTACAGCTGATATTCCATCAGGGATTGGAAAATTGAATTATAAAATTGTACCTAATTTACGGAAACTTTACCTAAAAGAAGATAGATGTACCTAAAAAGTAAATATGTATTTATATATAAAGAAAAATAGGAGGTAACAATTCCCATCGATGCCAATCAACTTCTGTACTCACATTAAACAAATTTTTGGCTATGAAAAGAATCTCTTGGAGCAGCGCGAGAGAAAACTATGTTGTAAAAAAGGTGAATCACTTTCCTCCTAGTTGTTCGATCTGACGTTTTAAAAAGAAATATTTTGCATCTGTCTGGCGAAATCAACTACAGTTGCGTTACTTTGACCACCCTTCTGTATCATTTGTATGCCTCTTCACAAAGGAGGGAAGCTATTCGACCAGTTGCCCGCACCAGAAAATGCATTGAAATGTCAGTAAAAATAAGAACTTATTTCCTGAGAAGCTATTTGGCTACGTTGCAAATGTACCTAAAATTGTGTGTTTATACCGAATGTGCTTTCAAACTAAATAAGAGTACGATTGTAACAACAACTGATTTCCTATCGCTAATTGGGCAGCTGACGTTGTGTGAACACCAAACTCAATACCGCAATTTTAAGATATGTGTCTTACCATCTGTCTTTTTGTATACTAACTGTATGAATTGATAAAACTTTGATTGTTTTCCCCCAAAATTGAAATTTTGAAATACTTCGTTATATTATTAAACGTGCGATATGTACATTGTTTTTTTTTCAGATTTAGGACCACAGAGGCCAACGACTTGAGGAATTGTGTGCAACCCCAAGTGCTGACTGGGATAATGCCTTTGTGGTTTTTATTTTCGAAAATAGTCGTATTCTAAACCGGATGACAAGAACACAGTTGCATTTCTCCATTTCGAATGCCACATACCGCTGTTTTTGGGAAGGGGAAATACGAAGTTTCTTTCACTTGTGCACTTATGCTATGGTATGCGACTAACGGCACATTATCTTACACCCCATTGTATGCGCCATTATGTGGGAGCGACGAACAGCGAACTCGTGTCATACAGAAGCGCAACGCAAATCTCATTTAGTACGGTGCGTAAACCCCTCGTGAATGGAAGCCTTTTCGAACTAAGGCGCTGGTCAAACGATGTGAACGTGTCGCCTATCACTCAGCAAACCAGTACAGCAAAGCACAACTAAGTTTCTTTAGGTGAAAAAAGAAACAAATTTTACAATATTTAGTTGAATAAAAGATTGACAAAAATGTTTTCCAGTTGCATGAAAATTAAGTGAAAAAGTGCGGGAAGCAAAAAAGACCTGAAAAGAAAGCAGAATTTCATACGAAAAGCTGAATTTTTTTGCGCGTAGCCATTTTGCATTGGCGTTTACCCTTGTTGAGAAGGAATATTTTATTAAAAGTAACAATTTTGTGGTGGAATTTCGAATCCACTTAAAAATGAATAGTGCGTGAAAAGTTTAATGTAATTTGAGTAAAAAGTCCATTAAAGAATGCTTGTGCAATTATTTTTCTGAGGCACATATTTGAAAAAAGGAAGTTGGCCAAAAAATACCAATAGAATAGTGAAGCATGGAAAAAAGCCATTAATTTTCGAAATAAATATCTTTCGGCAGTGATGTGAATACATATGAAAATTTATGTGCGGAAATTTGCGGAGCATTGAATTGTAAGTCGTCGTTTCATATATTTCATATATTTCGTTTCACTTCTTTTATTCGGCTGCTGCTTCTATAGCGCTGCCCCACAATTCCGAATGAGAAAATCTCTGTACACCACAATTTCTTGTGTGCCAGGCGAACAAGGCAGTGGTGCAGAACGCAAAGACAAACAGCGAGGGTGGGGCAGGATAGGGCAGTGCACGGAAGCAGTCAAACATATCGCGACACACTGAACTTCTCGTCTACACTGGCTTCTTGCCGCACTCTTCTGCCCACACTTTTATTCTTCGCTTAGTCTTCACCGTTGGCGGCAGTGGCGTTGGCTCATGAATGAAGGGGCTGGTGCTGGCAGGTGTCCCATTAAGAGCTGAGGCGCGCCGCAATATGCCGACAATGGCACTCACACACACACCCTAACAATTTGTAATGTGATGCCAGTGATGGGAGTAAATTCCAACCCCTAATGACAAAAAACGAATTGATAGTAAGATATAGAAAATGAAAAAAATGAGTTATGCGGCGAATGAAAAACATTCGAAACTAATATTTTACGAAAAATGGCAATTTTCGAATGTTTAGTGTGAAAACGGAAGTGAACTGTTTTGGCATGCAGATTTTCGGAAATGCCAAGCGCTTTTCGAAAAGCAACGTTAAAGAAGAGGAAGTAAGGAAATAGGTAAAAGAGACAGAGAGAAAGAGAGTAGCGAGTACTTGGTTGAGAATGCGGTGAGCGCATGCTTCCGCGTGGGAGAGTGTGCGCAACAAAGGCAAGAAGAAGCAGCTTAAAAAAGAAAGATAAGAAGCACACACAAAATTGGTGCGATTGAGAGCGTGTGTAGAGATATTGGTAGTAAGCAGGAGAAAAAATGTATCCCACAGGGCAGCCAAGAGGACTGTTGTCCATTTCATGTCCATGTGATGCAAATGAAAGGATTCCATTATAGAGAGTGCGCATTTGGGAGTGGGAGAAAACTTTAGAGGTGTGTGTATGCGTGTGGGTATGCAGGCGCGCGCGTTCATTATACTTACTACTAAATGAGAATTGCATTATAATTGATTTCATGTTTTGACATTTCAAGGATTAAAAAGGAGTCGACAGTGTGCCTACATTTATGTATGTGTATGTAACAATGTAACTGTAAAAAAAAAGTATGGTAAATTTGGCAATGAATGTAAGCCTTCGCGCAAAAGGTGTTGGTGTGTGATGAAATGCGTTCCATTCGTGGGTAATAATTTAATGAATAAAATAAAAATATTTGAGTTTAATGGAATAAAGTCCGTTGCTGCACTTGCGCGGGACGAATACACTCAAGCAAGTGAAGACGAAGAGCTAAGAGTTCTAAAGATAACGATAAAAATATGGGGCGAGAACGGAAGTGTGGCAAACGGGTATATACACTCTAAATGCAAATATAGCCCATACACACTGGCAAACCAAGGTCGTGCATATTCCCCACCCATCCTCGAATGTTCCTGTTAGAGGAACACATGTGCCCAGTTATGACTCCCCATCGAGGAGTCGTGGAGTTCATGCGCCTTAGCTGAGGCAGTAACTGTGGAAGTAGGTCTGTCCGGTTGTTGTATGTCGGTGGGTGGTAAATTGGGGCATTTATGGAAATATAAACTAAACGAGTAGCTACCGTTCATTTGAGTTCTTAAGCATATGAATGCTCATGATCTAGGTAAATTAAATATTATGTTGTTACACTAGCATCAACACAATAGCATTAGCATCGGTAGTGAGTGGAGGGTGTGTGAGTATTTAGAAGCTGTGTTAGTGTATGTGTATATACTCGTACTTGTAGTTTAGTAGTAATACTACGAATGCTTGCACCAACAGCAACAATAAGAATAAGCGCACGCACACATTTGTCGTTACGCACTTACGGCCATATGCCCCGTTTCGAATACCTACTACCACTACCAAATAACGACAAGTGACCGAGGACAACTGCCGTTATGTAGTACGTTACAATAACGGTTTATCGTAGTACTCTTCTGTGAGAATGGCGTTGCTACTGTTTCTGTTGCTGCTGCATTCAAACAATATGGCCAAGTTTTTTGACAATATCTACGATCTGAAGGATGGGTGGTGTATAAATGAATGCAAGCATATACATATATTTACGTGGGTATGTACTTATGTATGAGTGTGTGACTATTTGTGGGCGATATAAGTCCACTGTAATGACAGTTATCAATTTTTCCCGCTCCTACCTACATACATATAAGTCCATGTCTCTCTGATGAAATTATGTGTGCTCATAAAAAACTTTACACCAACCTTTGTTTCTTGCGTTCAACTAACTTTCCGATCGTTTGCTTGATGATTGCTTTTTGTCATCAGTTTCTTTTGCTTCTCTTTTTTGGAAACTTAGCTGTTCGTCTTTTAGAATGCTTCAAAGCGGCCAAGTGTCATGTTTCTTTACATTTGGAAGCTTACCTAATTCTAAAGACGTATCAATGTACTTAGCAATTATTGTGTTTGAACTAGAGGTTGCAGATATTTGCGTACCTGTGACTTTGTTACGGTTACTCAAAAGTCACGGGTAACTGTTGTGACAACTTCTAAAAAGTCACCGTGACAGACTGTAAAAAAGCAACAGCCGCAATTATGTTTTGTAGTAGGATTGCTCCTTCCACAATAGCAGTAACAGTCACAGTCGCTGCTACAAACTGTGACTGTGATAAAGTAGCACTCGCAATTACATATCGAGAAACTGCGGCCAGTGATGTTAACCTTAATGACTAAAATCTATTAATGTTGTTTGATATTAGAATTTCACACCAAAACAAACGACGAAAATAGTCTGTGATGCCAAATAAATGAATAAAATGCCCTTAGTTCACTCGGTAAAACATTTCTGTTTTACAACTTTTTTGTCACTGTTTTTGTCACAGCCACGGGTGAAAATCACAGTGAGTGCAAAGTCACAGTCACAAATAACGTTGTTACTCAAAAGTAACGAGATCGCCCATCTCTAGTTTGAACTCCTTCTCCACCTTAACTAAACTTGCTGCACTTGTACCACATAAATATGCATTTTGGCCTATTTATTGCAGTTAATTTTTTTGAAAATTTAGTTCTTTATAAATATAAGTTTTGAGTTCTTCTTCTTGCTGCGGTACATACATACATACATATTTATTTTGGTTATTCCAAATGTTTTATTGCCGCCTCAGTGGGTATGTATGCACAGATATACGTATGTATATACAAATGTATACATATGTGCGTACGAGTAGTTTTTCGTACTTATCTGTGCTCTGCTCCTTCGAGAGTGTCCTTTGTGGTACAATGAGCATTAACCTGCAATAGCAGCAACAACACGAAGTGCCCAACAGTGATAACAATAGCAACAATCATACAAATCTTATATAAAAGTTGCTTCAATAGTTGTTATTGCTATTTGTGTTTCAATTAAAACTTAAATTTCCCCAAGCTACTGAATAGAAATTGGCGTTGGACATAGTATACTCAACATGACAGAGTGGCGGCTTTATTGAGGTTGGTCTGGTTGGTTCGCTGCAATTTCTTGCTGGCTGCCGCATTTCATGCCACTTTTCTTTCGAGCAGATCCTTTTAATATCAACCCAGCAAACAATTAGGTTTGATTTACATTTGAGAATGATTTGAAATCAAATGTGGAAATAAAACTTATTATTGGAAATGTATATTTCATATTTATTTTTTCTTCACGATGCACATATATATGTACATAACAAAAGAAAGAATTAATAAATTGGTCTTGAAGGGCTGCAGCTTCTTCAACCCGCGCAAACATCAAATCCACTATTTGTGGGCTTTCTCTTTGAAAAATTTTTTCTATTCATTGTTTTTTTTTCAATTGATCTTAATTTTATTCTTACAATTTTTGATTTAACTACGCATTTTTATATCGTTTGACATCATGTCTAAGTTCGGGTGGAGCCGAACATTAAATACCCGGCGCAAGTATTAAATATATGTTTTTTCACCTTTCCGAAAGCTACCGCTAGGTGGTAAGCTGGGGTGTATCAATTTTGAGTAAATTAACGTCCTTAAATTTCGAAATATTGCAGTTTCAAGCATTTCTGAAATTTACCTTTATATGAAAAGCGGCCGTAATTTTAGTCCGATTTCAATAATTTTCAACATTTTGCTTTTATTTTATTTTGCAAGCACAATAAAAGTACCGAGTTTGGTACAAATTGGTAGAACGGTTACCGATATACATATATGTGATCATAAGGGGGCGATGCCACGCCCATTTTCCAAAATTTTACCATAAACGTATTTCTTGGTAAAGAATTGTTGCAAGCATCAATTTTGAATAAATTATCTTTAATATTTACTGATTTATCTAAGATTTTGTATTTCTTTAAATTACCGTTATATGGGATGTGGGCGTGGTAATTGTCCGATTTTTTAAATTTTCGGCCATTTAGTATGCTGTACCAAGGCCAACAACTGTGCCAAGTTTGGAAGAAATTGGTGCAGCGGTTACCAAGATATACACATGTAACCATAAGTGGGCGTGGCTACGCCCATTTTCCAAAAATTTATAATATTCTTAGTTCTCGTCTAAACATTGTTGTAAATATCAATTTTGAGTGAATAATCTTTAGTAGTTACTAAAGTATCGCAGTTTTCGTATTTCCGAAAATTACTGTTATATGGGATGTGGGCGTGGTTATTGTCCGATTTTAAAAAGTTTCGGCGATTTTTTATGCTGTACCAAGGCCAACAACTGTGCCAAGTTTGGAAGAAATTGGTGCAGCGGTTACCAAGATATACACATGTAACCATAAGTGGGCGTGGCTACGCCCATTTTCCAAAAATGTATTATATAACAAAAATGAGTATAATATTCTTATATTTCGTCTGAAAATTATCAAAATTGAGTGAATTATCCTCAGTAGTTACTAAAATATCGCAGTTTTCGTATTTCTGGAAATTACCGTTATATGGGATGTGGGCGTGGTTACAGTCCGATTTCGGCCATTTTTAATACCAACCTACCTTGGA